GACAAAGTTTTGGCAAGCAAGCTTTATCAAGGAAGAAAAAAAGAATTTATACAAATAATTAAAATAGAGCAAAGTACAGATGAAAGGAGTTTTCTTTTTAAAGGAGCAAAGACGATTAGTAATTATTATATACTAATAGATTTAAATGGATAAAGTCCCACTGAATTATGCCAAAATTGAAACAAAAGGAAAGAGAACTTGAACAGACCAATTAGTATGAGAGATTAAAAGGGCAGAAATTTTGCCTCCTGAAAAACAGCAGGTGCAAACATTCAACAGTGAGTTCTACCAAATTTAAGGAACAGTTAATTCCTGTTTTATACAAGCTCTTCTGGAAAAATAAGAAACAGTTAAAGAGTGACCAGTATATTGCAAGTAATCTCATTCTAAAAATCATATGCTGACAAGAAAATAAGAGGTTCACTTAGCATGATACAAAAATTCTACATTAAATATTGCCTAAATAAATCCAATAGTATGTTTTTAAAATAACAATATATCAAGGTTAAATAGGATTTAGCCTCAGAATTCAAGGATGGTTCAGTATTTGAAGTAGATTTAGAGGAGAGAATGTAGATGATTATCTCAAAGTCAATTTAGAATCAGCATCATAAAGTTCAGCAAAAGGCAAAACTACAAAGTGAATAAAGGATTACCTGGGAGACTATCTTTATGATCTCTACAGGGAAAATCCTAAAACCCACAAGGTACATGATTAATTTTGTCACATTAAAAATAAAGACTATTGCTCAAAGAAAGACCACTGACAAAGTTAACAAATTGTTAAGTGAACAGATGGGAGAAGACCCAGAATGGAAAAGGAGTTATTATAGTAGAGAACTGATAAGAAATTCCATAGCCCTTATAGGACAATGGGAAAATGATATGAAAAGACAACTCACAGATTTTAATTTAGACTACACGAATTAGAAGGCTGGATAATTTTAACTGTTGGCAGGAATGAAAAGATGTAAGAAGCCTCACACAATGCTAGCGGAAGTGTCGGGGGGTGGAATCAATCTGGTTTGGGTCAAAATCTCAGTTAATACTTTGCTTTGCTTTATCCTGTGCATAGATTTCTTTGGGGGACTTCACCAGAAGGAGCAGCTGGCCCAGTACCAGCTTTGAGTCTTATGATATTGTTAGGCCTGATCATTTCTAGCAGAATCACACCTGATTCAGCTAGTCTGAAGGATATGGAAGCAGAAATCCCTACTGTAGCCTTCTGTTTAACACAGGTTTGTCAAGATTTTGCTTTGGTTTTTTTAAAAAAAATTGATATATTGGTACAAAATGTCCTAAAATTGTGGTGGATGGGAAATTACTATATATTTAGTTTTTAATTTCGAAAGCAAGTATGACTGCCTTCTAGCTGTATTAATCTGTATACAGGGTGAAGAGCTGTGCAACAAAACAGATCGGGAGGACTTGATCTCCGAACCTGGAGATACCAGAAGAGAAAAGAAGAAACTTGGCTCCTAGAGAGGAGAAAGGCCTCCAGATGATCAGGAAGGAGGGCTCTTGGGATTTCCGTGACCCCAAAGTATCTCTGGAGAAGAATCAGATGGGCTTGGCTTTTCTTAGCCAAACAGAAACTCAGTTACTTTTTATCTAAGAAAAAGAACTTAAAGGAGGCACTGGAACAGGGCCTCAGGGAGGGCTCTTCCCACCTCCCGCAGGGATGTGGGCAGACCCTAGAGCAGTAGCAACGGGACTGTTCAAAACTCAGAAAGGATTCTTCCAGATTCTCCCTTCAGAAAACAGCTGAAGTTGGCCAGGAGAAAGAAGGGAGAAGTGAGAGGGTGACTGACTCTATATTCAAATGCAAGTTCAGTCATCAGGATGCTAGTAGAGACTTGTCTCCACACCAGAAAACTGAACAAAACCTCTGGCAGACCCTGCTAGGAGGGCAGGAAATGCACATCACAACCTGATTAGGTCATGATCCCCAAGGCCCAGAAGCCAAGACTGTTCTTCAATTCTCCATGATGAAAGATACAAAGCTACTGTATCTCCTGGCTGTGATAATTTTTATCTTCTGGAGTTTGCAAAACAGGCAATTGTTACCTAAAACATGGACATCAAGGAAAGTTTATTTGGGCTGTCCTGCGTCTCTAAAACATGGACATCAAGGAAAGTTTATTTGGGCTGTCCTGCGTCTCTACACAGATGACAGATTTCTGTGCTGACAATGCTACTGCCTGGAACGTGGTAAAGGGACAGCCCCAGGAGGTTGCAGGACGGGCCCCTCAAATGGCACCCACATCTGCGGCCCATTCCCTCTCTCAGGGGCTGAGGATGATGCAAATCCCAGCTGTCTTCCTAGAAGAATCTGCAGTGTGTAGTCTGGGGTGCCCAGAGAAACTTTTTTCTGAATGTAATAATAGCCTCTTACTGCAGACAACTGGAGCTATCTGGTCCTTGACCAGAAAAACTGGTAGTTATCCTAAAGGTGAGAATGTTTTCCAGGAAAAGAGGGTACATGCAATACAGAACATGTGTTTTGGGTTAAAAACTGATACTAAAACACAAATAAGAAACATTCTTGAACACACATGTAAACTAGGATTAATAATCCATTTGCAATTATGACACAAAGCAAAGAACCTTTCTAGAAGTCTTAGGAAAAGCTTAAGGTTATGGTTTGTTTCAATAACAATTTTCAAAACCTTAAATGGCGCAAAAAGCATTAACATCCTAACTATAACCAGATTTTCTATTATCCAGAGAAGAGAAACTGGTTGGAATATGCTAAAAAACACCATGATTTTAAAAGAGCAAATTGCAATTTTCCTAAATATCAAGAGGGCAAGAAATGAGAAACAGCCATGTGGTTTCCTAAACTCTCTATTTAGAGGCTAGCAGGAAAAGAGAAATTTGTACGAAGAATTAAGGCTGTTCCTCAGTCAGGGTTAGTGAGAAAGCAATAGAAATAACAGGATAAGAAGGCTGGAAGAAGAAGAAGGAAAAAGGATGCATCTACTGACCCTGGAAAGCACGCGATGGTGTTTGCTTACAAGGGAGGAGGAGAGAAAAGCTATAATAGAGGGCAACGAGCACACTTGGCATCAGAATTTCCCCAAGGACAAAGTGATTATTAGTATCCACCCCAGGCATCAATTCTGCCATCACGCCCATCCATGGGTACTCCCTTGACCTTGCACTAGTACCAACCACTCATGAGAAATCAGGGCGTCTTATCCCTTCAACTGGGAGTCCCCGGGCCAAGAGGCCCGAGTTCTCCCAAATCCCATCCCCAGAGCTAGGCAGACACACAGTAGTTTCAGGCCAAAGATAAAATGAGCTGTAAAGTGCTCCTGGCTTTGTCTGGCAATTATCTCTCTCCTTTGGTGATCTCGTGGGTGCAGAATTGGACCATTGAGGGCTCTGGTTACTTCTCTCTCTTCTCATAGAAAAGACCTGACTCACTGTGCCAACATCTTTATAATCATGCCCATGCACTCCACAAGAGGGTCACTGCACATGACTGTTTTGAAAGGAAGAAAGAAGAAACATCACAAGAATGAAATTTCAAGGACTAACATCCAGATGAGACTGGCTGGGCCCTGAACAGTGAATCTACTGGTTTTCTAGGCAGATCACAAAACAGGAAGAACCCGGAGCCATTCCCCCTCCCCCCGCAGCACACCTGGAGGGTACTGAGGCTACAGCAGTCTCTTCATTCAAAAAGAATCTCAAAGTTGGAGTGTCCTTCTGAATGAGTAGTACCTGGCACCAAAAAAGCAACACATGCTTTCAGAAAAAGCTCGCTGCCCCGGGTCACTACCTCATCAGCAGTGGAGAAACAGGGCGACCCTGATGCAGTCACTTCCTGAAATCACCTCCAGCCTTCTGCAGCATGTCAGCGAGGTGTGCTCACCCACCCCAGTCACAGGGTGTCTGCTGAACATCCTCCTTTGGTAATCTTCTGGCATTTCTTCCTGCTTTCGTGAGGACTGTGCCAGAAACTCCTTCCTCATAAAAAAGCTCATAATCGAGTTGGCCCAGCCAGGTCAATCCTTTCATTTCATGGTATAGCGTAAACTAGTTTGGCTAGAAAACATACTCCCGCCACTTAAAACCTTTTAGGGATCTGTACATGGACAGACCTGAACTTTCCCTGCTACTTTTCCTGAAGCTTCGCAGAGTGTGGTCAGGTTGGCCCTTATCACCCACGTGCTCACAGATGCTTTCTTCAACATCCAGAGGATTGACGCTTAGTATTTGGGGAAAACAAGACAAGCTTTTCAAAAGGTTTACAATCAAAACACTCTGTACAGATAATCTGCACAATCTAGAAAGATAATCTGCAGGCCATTCTCATCACCAAAATAATACTTTAAAAATGGACCTGGTTAGAGCAAACTCCAGAGTAAAATGAAGGGCCTTTTAATAAGGATTTTAAAAATCAATTTAAAGACGTCAGTGTAAAAAAAATAATAACAGTACAATACACAACAAAGCAAAAACAGACAATTATAAACCAGAGACATCTTGCGGGGGGCAGGAGGAGGGAGAGGGATGGGGGAGGGAGGAGCACAGGGGACTGAGGTGATGGTGCCCGGGTGCATCGGTGAAGGAAACTCTATGAGGACTGCACCTGGGGTGGGGGGGGGAGCAAATATTGATTAATAATGAACAATGATGTAAAAAATTTTTTTTAAATTATATTAAAAAAGATCAATTTAACTTTGTTCATACCTATCACAGGGTGGGAACGGGCTCATCACAAGAACGTGCAAGGCTGACCGCCAACACCGTCAGAGCCCACTAGGAGGTGACACAGGCAATTGGCGGCCACAAGAGCCACTGGCCACGCCATCGCCCTCCTCACGACCAGCATCTAGAAGCCTGTCAAGGTTTTCCCTTCCCTTGAAGTTGCCCTGGTTGGAAACTGGGAAGCTGTGGACTGCATTGTGTGATTCGGTCTGCAGCACACAGAATTCCCGTACTCAAATATTCGACTCCAGGAAAACGTGAGACAGCTGTCCAGCACTCACCTTTGTCAGATCCGCAAACTGAGAGTTTCTTAACACCGTCAACGAGAACGTTTTGTGTGTGGCAAGGCCCATCTTCGACATCGCTGTCATCAAATTGTGCCTCTATGATGACATCAGGACTGCCACTGTAGCCTTTCGGGGTCTGGAGCGGGAGATGGCTTCCACAGAGCTCCTCAGGGAGATCTAACTCATAAGTGCCTTCTGTTTCTTTGTCATTGCTCTCTGGTTTAATTACCTGAGGAAGACAGATAGGAATGGTCTGCTAAGTCACTGGAGGGGGATGGCAAAGAACAGATTTTTCTTCTCCTAAGGAAGCAGCAACAAACTCAGACACTGACAGCATTAGACACTCACCAGGTGGTTTAAGAGGCTCTTTCTTTTCCAAAGCACAGACCACCATATGGAGATGATCCATCCAGCAATGCAGAGCGGGCACTCTGCTCTTCAAGACGCCTAAGATGAATGCTACACCCACAGCTCATTTTTCTGATGGACATTTTCCTCCCCTTTCCCCGTAGGCCCTGAACACCAGCAGAGCCAAGCTGCTTTGCAAGGGCTCATGACTCAGGACAGATTAGGACAGCAGGGGACAACACAGAGACTGCACAGTGCATGTCACTGCACCCCCAAACAAACCACAGGGATGGAAGAGAAAATGGAAAAAAAAAAATTAAATGTGAGCAAGTTCTCATAAAAAAAATATAAGCCCTTAATTCTCCATGCTGAGGCCTGTAGTCAGTACAGCACATACAGCAACAGGCACTGATACCAGCGGGGAGAGCACAGCGTGATACGATCTTATAGGTAAATATATTTCAATTAAAAAATGAAGCAAGGAAGAGAAAGAATCTAAATATGAATCCATTTAATGAGTGTCTCATGACAGTCCTGTGACAGAACTCTGATTTCTATGAGCACTAGATCAAATCACACCAGACTCTGTTTAGTCACTGCAAAAACAGCCACCCATCTACAACACCAGCAAAATAAACAATAACAGCAGATTTTGTAGGTTCTAGATGCTACTCTGAACATCACACTCCTTTGTGGAGTATTCCAACAGTTGCAAACAGCTTTTAGTAGCCACTCAAATGTATGCTGAAAGAATGAATGTAGCAATTAATTAAGAAATGACTTGTTCCAAATATATCTTCCCTGATAAACTGGTAATTTCATGAAGTAATCACGGCAAGGCCTGAAATAATGTGTAGTGTGCACTCAAGTTTCTTTTGAATGAAGAAAGAACCAGAAGGCATAGAGCATCTAACATCTCCACATATCTGACATCTAACTCTCTCTCAAGACCTCTTCCAAATGGCCTAGATTTTCTACAACCCAGGACCCACCCACTGTCTTCCCAGGTCCTTCCCGCCCCTCCTGCCAGACCCAGGCATGAGTAATTTCTTTCTTGTCTAAGTCACAAAACAATTGACCTGCTCAAAACAATTGAGCACTTCTCTGTCTCTTGACTGTATTAGTGTTATCCATGTATCCGGCTACCCTATCTGATAAGACTGAATGCTCAAATACAAATAGGAAAAGAAGAAGTCAAACTATCACTATTTGCAGATGATATGATAATATACATAGAGAACCCCAAAAACTCCACAGAAAAACTAATTCAACTCATCAAGCAGTTCAGTAAAGTGGCAGGATACAAAATCAACACACAAAAATCAGTAGCCTTCCTATACACAAACAATAAATCTGAAGAAGAAATTAAAAAAAAAAAATCCCTTTTATTATCAAAACACAAAAAAAAATCAAATACTTGGGAATAAATCTAACAAAAGAGGTAAAGGACCTATACAAAGAAAACTATAAACACTGTTAAAAGAAATAGAAGAAGACACAAAGAAATGGAAAGACATCCCCTGCTCATGGATTGGAAGAACAAACATTATTAAAATGGCCATCCTACCAAAAGCAATAAACAGATTCAATGCTATTCCAATCAAAATTTCAATGTCATTCTTCAAAGAAATGGAACAATTACTGATGAAATTCATATGGAATCACCAAAAACCCCGAATAGCCAAAGCTCTCCTGAAAAAAAAAAGAAGGGAATGGAGGCGTCATACTCCCAGACTTCAAACTGTACTACAAAGCCATAATCATCAAAACTGCATGGTATTGGAACAAGAACAGACACACAGACCAATGGAATCGAATAGAAAATCCAGAAATAAACCCACAGATTTATGGTCAACTAATCTTTGACAAAGGAGCAAAGAATATGCATTGGAGCAAAGAAAGTTTGTTCAATAAATGGTGCTGGGAAAACTGGGTCGCTACATGCAAAAGAATGAAGCTTGACTACTATCTCACACCATACACAAAAAACAACTCAAAATGGATTAAAGAACTAGACATAAGACCTGAAACCATAAAATACATAGAAGGAAATATAGGCGAAACACTACATGATATGCACATCAAAGACATCTTTACAGACACATCACCCAAAGCAGTGATAGTGAAGACAAAGATAAACAGCTGGGACTACATCAAATTAAAGAGCTTCTGCACAGCAAAAGAGACAATAACAAAAACAAAGAGAAACCCCACTAAGTGGGAGAACATTTTTGCACACAACACTAATGATAAAGGACTGATCACAAAAATCTCCAAAGAGCTGATGAAACTCAACAAAAACAAAGAAAATAATCCAGTCAAAAAATGGGCAGAAGAGCTAAAAAGAAACTGGTCCAACCACTATGGAGAGCTGTGTGGAGATTTCTGGACCTACTACACGTAGAGCTTCCATAGGATCCAGCAATTCCACTCCTAGGTATTTACCCAAAGGACACAGAAACATCAATTCCAAAGAGCACCTGCACCCCTATGTTTCTAGCAGCACTGTTTACAATAGCTAAGCTTTGGAAACAACCCAAATGCCCAAAAATAGATGACTGGATCAAGAAGATGTGGTACATATACACAATGGAAAATTACTCAGCAATCAAAAAAAGATAAACACATGCCATTTGCAGCAACATGGATGGCACTGGAAGGGATCATGCTCAGCGAAATAAGCCAGAAAGAAAAAGAAAAATACCGGATGGTCTCAGTCATAACAGGAATCTAGAAAACTTAAATAAGAGACCAGGAAAAAGAATAACTATAAGAAAGCAACAATCAAAATCAACAAACAACTATGAACCAGAGACACACTATCGGGGGTGGAGGTCGGGGAAAGGAGGGATTGGGGTCAAAATCAGGGGGTTGCCAATTGTATGGGGAATATAAAAATAAAATTTTAATTTAAAAAAAAGACTGAATGCTCAACAATTACATCTCTCACCTTTATATGTTCTTTTTAAAAAAAATTATTGTATTTATTTATACATACAAGAACTGGTATGTAGGCCAGAGGGGTGGGGGAGGGGGTAAGAGGATTCACCAGAGACAGAGTGGGGAACAGAACAGGCAGATCCACTGAAATCCACTGCTGAGGGGTGCACCGGGAGACAGGAGAGGTCTGCTGTGCCATGTGGGTCACCGCCCCGGCCAGGGATTGAACGCAGGCCACAGTGGCTGGGGATAGCTTGATAGCGCTGAAACTTTAACTCCTGCACCACAGGGGAGGCCCTCATCTTTTTATATTCTACAACAACTGGCACAATCAATCTAGCTCAATAGTTGCTGAATAAATGGGTAAATGGGTAGAAAAACGGGGGGGGGGGGTTGAATATAAAAGATTGCCAGCATACAAGAGAGCTTCAGAACATTTTCCAGACAAAAAAAAGTACATTAGAAACTAGTACCCTAATTTTTCTTGAATTTGTGAAGTGGGATCTTCTGTGGGATTGGCCTTTAAAAAGTAGAAAAGCCTAGTTCAGGGTTTTTCAACTTTGGAGTCTAGCAGATCCCTGTGAGAATCAGAGGAAAGCATATAGATTTTTCTTTCATAGGAAAATGCACATCTAGAAGATGTGGCATATCTACACCATGCAATATTATTCAGCAATCAAAAAAGATAAACTCGTACCATTCGCAGCAACATTGATGGAGTATAAGGGATTGTGCTCAGTGAAATAAGTCAGAAGGAAAAAGAAAAATATCTGAGTTTCACTTATAGGAGGAATGTAGGCGAACCACATAAGGGACCAGGAAAAAAAATAATTATAATAAACTAAAAAACAAAATTAACAGGCAACTATTAATCAGAGATGCTCTGCAGGGGAGGGGCAGGGAAAGGGAGCAAAACAGCTGTGGGCCCAGGGTGGGCAGAGGCGCTCCTGAGCAAATGGTCATATCACTGACCTGTCCACCGAGGCCAACGATTCCTGGGGTGCCCTCCACAAACCTGAGAAAGCAGGACAACTGACTACACTTGCCGGAGAGCCACAGGCGGCACTGTTTCTCCCTGGGAGAGTCAGCCTAGCTTCTGGACACAAACGGGTTAGTGAGGGAACCAAGCCACTGGCCCACGCTGAACTTTCTACTCTCAGTCTTGTTCTGTGAACAGGATGGAGTGAGCATCACATAAAGGCTGCTAATAAAAATAAACAGTGAAAACAGGGGCAGCTGTCCATTGGGAAGGACTGACATGAAATAAAAATGTCACTTGCAGCTACTAAAAATGCTTAAGAAATAGCACACTACAACACTTACTAAATCTCATTTCCTTGAACCTCCCCTCTTCAAACACACACGCGTGCGTGTGCATGTACACACACACATACAGAGAGAGGAACGTGTCAGACGTATCCTACGGTTGGTTTTACCAAGGAAAGACCTGTGATCTGCCCGCTGTCTCCTTCAGGGTGGAACTGGGCAAGAGGGTGGTGCAGCGGCATGCCAAGAGGAAAAGGTGGCCCCTTTTTCCAGCAGGCTGCAATCCTTAAGCTCTGGGGGTCAGAGAGCCTTTTTTTTTTTTTAATTACAAGAATTATATAAAACACCCACTAAGCAGCAAGAGGCATGTTGTCTAAATGATGTGACATGACCCAGAGCAGCTGGGAGCCAGGACAGAGGCCCCAGTGAGTTGATCGCAGCTGACTTAGCGCCATAAGCAGCAAGTATAAATGCCGGTGAATAGTTAGAAGACAAATAAACACATTTTTCTCAAGTAATTCTAGGCCTTCCTATCTATATAAATTGTAACTCTAGTTTCAGTATTAACTCAAATGTAACCATAAAGTTAACTGTTCCTAACTATGAAAAACAGTTTTCACAAGAAAAGGCGTGAATGCCTCGATGAAAAGAGAAAGTCGAGGTCTGCGCGGTTTC